GTGCACGTTTGACTTGACTCGAACCGATTGTAGGTGAAAGGCCATACTCCTCAAACCAAGGAGAAGAGTGACTACCAGAAGAGTCTTTCAGAGCTGAAACAAACATTACATCAGTTAATTACAACCCATCAATCGACTCCACTGTGAAACGTGCAAAGACATAGGCATGGTTTTGAAAGATATGATGGACTACTGGTGAGCTTTACAAGGCATGCAAGTTTAGAAGACTTAAACACGAACAAGAAAATTAGCATCATTTAATATCCCGATATTATCTTCATTGTTTAGAATGGTGATCCCCTAAAACAGTAGAAGGTGCTCTTATTAATATCCCGATATTATCTTATTAAAACAACATAATAAAAAGAATGTAAAGTAACTTATTAGAAATTGGAAATTTCACCAACCCTGAGTGTAACTTATTTGTGCACGTTTGACTTGACTCGAACCGATTGTAGGTGAAAGGCCATACTCCTCAAACCAAGGAGAAGAGTGACTACCAGAAGAGTCTTTCAGAGCTGAAACAAACATTACATCAGTTAATTACAACCCATCAATCGACTCCACTGTGAAACGTGCAAAGACATAGGCATGGTTTTGAAAGATATGATGGACTACTGGTGAGCTTTACAAGGCATGCAAGTTTAGAAGACTTAAACACGAACAAGAAAATTAGCATCATTTAATATCCCGATATTATCTTCATTGTTTAGAATGGTGATCCCCTAAAAAAATAAAGACAATTTTCAACTGTCGGCGGATTTTTCGATATTTATGGTCAGTGGCTCTTAATTACAACCCCGTCAATTGATTTCACTGTTAAACATGAAAAGACATAGCCATGGTTTTGAAAGATATGGTGGCCTACTGGTGAGCTTTACAAGGCATGCAAGTTTAGGAGACTTGAAAACGAACAAGAAAATTCGCATCATTTAATATCCCGATATTATCTTCATACTGATCAAAATGAGACAGTCCTCCTCTAAATTTTTTAAACTGTTGATCCCCTAAAACAGTGGAAGGTGGTCTCTTATCTCTGGTTGCAATAACTGGTCTTCTTTCTGAAACTACAGGTACAAAATAAAAATTCGTACAATTGCCTTTGAAGGTTAGACTCTCCACATGATCAGCTCATAATTTCTCTTTTCTAAGTATGCATCTGTAAAAAACCTTAAAATTTTATTTTTCATTATATTTCTTCTTTCTTTTCTTTTTTTTTTTTTTCTTTTACTGAGCAAGATCTTTTGTTTTTCTATGGTTTACCGTTCATTATTTAAAAGTAGGCTATAATGTTATAACACTAAAATACTTCATAGCTACCAACAACAAGTTGAAATGTTCCTTTCAATCACATCAGTTACATTGTTTTTTCGAATCAGGAGAGCAGTGCCATGCCTTGCATTTTTTTGCTTACTTATTAAAACAACATCATTACAAGAATGTAAAGAAACTTATTATAAAACTAGAAATTTCACTAACGCTGAATGTAACCTCTTTGGTGAACGGGTTTGTCTCCGGTCGAAGAGGTTGTAGGAAAAGGAGTCTGTCCATATTCCATAAATGAACGCGAGGAGTAACTACCAGAAGAGCTTTTCAGAGCTGAAACAAACGTCACATCAGTAAATGACAACCTTATCAATCGATTTCACTGTGAAACGTGGAAAGACAAAGAGATGGTTTTAAAAGATATCGTGGCCCACTGGTAAGCTTTAAAAGCTATGCAAGTTTGGGAGACTTGAAAACGAACAAGAAAAATGGCATCATTTAATATCCTGATATTACCTTCAGAGTGATTAAAATGAAGCAGTCCTTTTTTGTTTTATTTTACTTTATTTTAATTTTATTATTTTTGTTTAATTTTTTTTGGTTTTTTTTTTTTTTTTTTGCAGTTGTCTTTCAGGCTCTACAGTGTACAAAATTGTTTTATAACATAACCAAACTAAAGCGCGCGCTCTGATTGGTCAATTTAGCGTCCCCCATTTGCCCATGGGTGTACGCTGCTGACGTGACCAAATGCAAAGATTATTTTTTCGCGCGCGCTTCTTTTTTCTGGTCACGTAAGATTTGTTAAAAAAAAAAGGAACTCTTAAGCTACAATGCATCAATGTTATGTTATAAAACAAATGGTAAACACCACAGCATACACTATTGAGTTATGGATGCACTTGGGAGGTTTGCTAAGAACTCAAGAAGCTAGAGTCGCTCTCCGCTATCGCCTCAAGCGACTCTTGCGCTTCTTTCGTGCTTAGCAACCTCCCGCGTGCATTCATAACTCAATAGTGTACGCTGTGGTGTTTACTATTTGTTAATTCTTTTATTGTTTTCATTTTAAAACCAAGAGGGCAGAGCCATTTCTTTTCTTTTTGGCTTACTCATTACAACAATAGGACTTTAAAGAGACATTCAACCATTTCTTTTCATGGGGGCTAAGCTTAATACACCTCTTTTTTCTAAAATTTTCATTTGACAAAATAAACCTCTGAACAACCTCCAAAGTTTGCTTTTTGCAGTGATGCAAAAATCTTTCAAAGCTTTTAGCGAACAATATTCCCATCAGACAACTGAAGAAAAGAACTCTGTTACCACTTGGTGAATAAAATAATTATAAATCCAATTTTTGGACTCTGATAGTGAACTAGATATCACTAAATTCACTTGTCCTATTCAAAATAGCTCACCAAGTTTAAGATTGTGCAGCCTTTCTACAAGCCTTCTAATGGGCTCTTCCCAGCTGTACTTCTCCAGATACTTTTCACGCAAAAGCCTTGATTCTAAAAGTCGCACCTCCCTCTTTTTCTCTCGTACCTCCTTGATCATTTTGGCCCAGTCTTTGGGGTCTTCAGAGTCGATCACACACTGTGATCCAAGAGGCACCTCCTTCAGTGCTTCTCCAAGTCCTGAATTACCACTGACAAGTACAGGTAAACCAGCAAATAAGGCCTCAAGAGCCATGAGTCCAAATTCATCGGTTGTGGATGGCATGATGGCAAGGTCAACCTGAAGGAATAAGTTGGCTAATACTTTTCTGCTGCCACTGAAACTGCCAACAATCAGCTGATTACGATCGATGCCAAGCTGAAGAATCTTATCTGCTATTTCATCTTCTTTTGCTCTTGGTGCACCAACAAGCCTGAGTTGGTAGGATTTATCTTTCAACTCGGCAATTGCTTGAGCTGCAAGATCATAACCTTTCAAGATGAAATCTTCACAGTTGTGATCACTTCCGATGACTAGAACACTGAATGTTCTTCTTTCTTCAGCGA